CTATTTTGATCGACTTTGATTAATTGTTTCAAATTCTGTGATTACTACACAGAAGTACTAAATAAAGATGTTTATGTTTATTCCAGTTCTGTGTGTTAAATATCTAGGTGTTTTTATGTGAATGTGGGTCTTTTAGATCAATTTTAGTGATTTTGATCATGTTTCACATTTTATTGTCACATACTGGCGCTGGTGTTGGTCTTGACTAGGTCTCGACTTCCCTCGGTCTTGGTCTTGACTTGGTCTCGGACCCTAAAAGTCTTGGTCTTGTCTCGGTCTCAATACACTCTGGTCTTGACCACAACACTGGTAATGAGTCTAACAAACCTATTGAATGATTCCTTTTCTATTGTTCACACAAAAGAACAACAAAAATCCCCTGACTAGTACAGGAAATAATAAAAAAAAACAACGTGATTGGCTTTAAGGAAGGCAGAGACGGATATCACTCTGAGTTTGTTTAGGAAAACCTGCTCCTAACCAAGTTAGCTCTAGTGAGAATATTACTACATTAAAAGAAACAGAACTAGAGCAAACTATCTTCATGAAATGGAAAACTCAGTTTCCCTGATTTCAGGTTTAAAAAACTTCGAGTTTTCAGTAAACTTGCTTTGTGAAATGATTCTTTCGGCTCTGCAAAGCTTCCCTTTACCTCTGGTGTCTAGGAAAGTGGAAATGCAAAAAATATTGTAACAATACACGTCAGGAGTCCCTAAGAACTTTTGTCTAAACATAACATTCCTGTAAATTTCAAGCCAAAAACCACTTGTAGATAAAAACTGCTTTATCCCATTGATAGAACACCCAAACATAAGCTGATGGTGATTACATTTTTATTTTCCAATGTTTTTCTTTTTTTTGGTTTATTTTTGTTTTTTGCATGATTGCAGAACCTGCTGCTATAGCCTGAGTGGTCCTTTCTATGGACTGGACTAGAAACCACTGGAGATGTTGATGCAGGATATTTCCAATGTGAAGGCCACCCGGTTCCCTGAAGGGTGGTAGGATTTTTTTATTTTCTGAGATCTTGTACAATTTTTGTTGCTGCTTTTTTGGGGGGTCAGATCTGATACCAAAAAATGAAACCAAAGGAAAAAAAAAAACTTGAAGCATCCTCTTTCCAAAGGGCAGCAGGCAGCACAGTCCGTGGTGGGGGTGTGAGGGGTCACTGATCATTTTACGGCCTCAGGACACGCAGCTTTGTGATAGAATAAGCGCTTCTGTGCCCTCTTAACTACTGTAGTGAGGTGGTGTTCACAGTCATGGTGAGTGTCTGTGACGTACATCCCCAGGAATTTGGTGCTACTGACCACCTCTATAGCTGAGCAGTTGATGAGCAGTGGAGTGTGGTTAGGCCAGTTCTTCCTGAAGTCGATGATGATCTCCTTTGTCTTCTCCATGTGCAGGATCAGGCTGTTGTCTCTGCACCATCCCACCAGCTGTTCCACTTCCTTTCTGTAGTCCCAGTTGTTGCCATGTCTCGTGAGGCCCACCACCGTATTGCCAATGCTGTGGGATTATGGTGTTGAAAACTAAACTGACATCCAACATCTGCACGTATTCTTCTCCTCAATGTGTGCTAGGCTGAGGAAATGGCGTCCTCAGTTAAGTGGGTCCTTCGGTAGTCAAACTGGAATGAATGTTGTGGGGAGTCTGGAGACGATTTGTTCTTCATCATGATGACAGTCAATGTGACAGGCTGGTAGTCATTAAATAAGGTGAATTGAGGCTTCTTGGGACCAGAATGATGCAGGCCGACTTAAAGCAGGCTGGCACCTTGGTCCAGCAAGGGGTTAAAAATGTGCAGCTGGGTTGTTGTCTGCAATTGTGCGTATGCCTTGCCATATCCTCCTGGTGTTGCTGGCGTTGTTGAAAAGATCCTGGATTTTCTAACTGTGGCTCCTCTTCGCTAACCTGACGGCATGGTTCAAGTTGGCTCTTGCTGTTTTCAGTTCCTCTGTCACCAGACTTAAAGGCTGAGTTCCATGCTTTTAGCTTTTGTCTAACCTCCTCAGTCATCCAGGGTCATTGGTTGGCCTGTGATTTTTGTATCCTCTTCTCTGTGATGCGTACTTCCTGAATGCATTTTGTTGACTTAGGCTAACAGAGTCATGGCATACACATCAATTATCCTTTTGTCATGTTTCTGCACCTTGTACCTAAATAACTTCATTGTTAAAGGTTAGAGGTGGATAAACATCTTGCACCCTAGGGAAAAATGTTGAAATATTGTTCCTCAGTGTTATCAAAGGAAGACATCTGAGGAGATTAAAAAGGAATGCCATTGAGCTCTAACAGAAATAGCCACCGACAGACACATGCATTTATAGTCAAGGTGTAGCTCACAACACCACGCCAAAGCTTTTTCAAGGGAGGTGCTTCTTGGAATGGGCAGGTGATCAATTTTCTTGAAGAATGATGATTCTTTTTACCATAAAATAATAGGGCTGCTGCTCAGAGAGCAGAATTTGCGAGGATTAATTTAACTTGCATGAACTGGGCTGATATTTTATTGTGTGTATTTGCATGTTGCCTGCCTAATAAGTTTGCTTTTGGCTAACATCCTGTAATCATCCTTGTTAAACATTAAACTCTTGTTAGATTAGCTTTGACCCTTTCCCTATATTTACTAAGTCAGTTGTATGTTTGGCGCCTCTATGGAAACATCTTTGTAAAAAAAAAAAAACATAATATATGGTAGATGTCCTTTTGAAACAATATCAGTTCTGGCTTAGACATTTTCGATCCCATGGGCTGATATGAGTTAATTGCATAGTGTTATGCAAACCAAATAGATCCTGACATACAGCATATTTTATTCTTAATATTTAAGATGATAATCTAACAACTGCAAAATCCTACTATTAAAATGGCAAAAGTTGAACTCTTACCTGTGGTAGAGGGACCATCTTGATGAGGACTGTATTATCTTCCTTTGTGGCAACAATGTAATTTTCCGTTTTTTGTTTTTCTACATAACCTTCCTGTTTTAATTTGCTTTGTGCTCCCCCCATGTTTAACAAGCAAAAGAAGCAGTTCCTACTGTTTTTAGATAAAACGTGATGTTTCTTCAGAACTGCTTTGTCAAAGCTGTTTTTAACAAGGAAATGTCAAATATATCCTGACTCACAGTTCTATACAAACTTCTATAGAAATGTTGGTCCTCTTTAAACAAATGTTGAAATTATAAATCACTTACTGTAGGTCAAAAACAACACAAAAATCTTAACATAAACATATCCTGATCTTAAAAACGACGTGAAGTCTGAGTAGGCTGCCTCCGTCTATGCTCAAAATAGAAAGTAAACTTGCACTTATGCTCTTTAAAATGAAAGTGAAACTTACCATACAAGACTACTGCTGAAGTTTATGATATGGCTTAAAAGCAAATTTTGTTACACAAATATATCTGGTAAAATAAAATTATATCACTTTATGTTATATTACCGGTATATCATCTTATCTAAAAAAAAAAAAAAAACATTACACATATCTACAGAATGTCGAGTAAGTTTTAATAGGAGCAGGGTAGATGGTGAAAAACTGATACTCAGTCTGCAGAGTTATGATCCAGTTTTGAAGTCATTAAGCCTTTGCTTAACCAGTAAAAGCATTTATCTATACATTAGATAACACTTAACAAATGAAATCCTTCTTAAAAGAGCATCAACACCTTAAAGTGTTCCCAAAACAACCCAGGACGTCTAAGGATGCATTTCACCCGGTCCTCATAAAAGATGTATTTGATCGTGGTATTAACCTAGCTGCTGTTTACTGTCTGCCTAAAAAGAGAAGAAATAAAAAGAAAAAAGAAGGTTTGTAGTCGCAGCAGATTCAGCATCAGGTCTGCTGGGAAGTTTGCTGGTCGTGGGCGTGAATGCAGGGAGGATCCATAACAATCACCTTCTCGCTCACCCTATGATGGGAAGCAGGTCTGTAGGAGAATTAACAGTTTACTCTTGTGAACACCCTTTTATACCAAGACGCTGCCAATACCCTATTATACAATAGCTGTATGTAAGAAACATGTTCAGTGGTCGTCTGGAACACATCAAATGCGTTGATATACGTTGGAGATAAGTTCTTAATAAGTTACGCTGGCATACTTAAAGAAATTTTGAGCACAAAATTTCTTGATTTACTCGCAGTATGTCGAGATGTGCCATCGTGTTCCAGCATGCTTCAGCATACTTCAGTGTGCTCCTAACTAAGAACAAAACGTACCCATAACTTGCCAGCATTTTTGCCAGATTTTTTGTAAGTCAAGCCTACACTGGTCTAAATCATCAAGGTGTGATAGGAGCATGAGCTGTGTAAAAAAATACATTTCTACTTCAGAATTTCTGCCTGGTTCCTTCTTAAATTTTTTGTTTCAAACTAACAATAGGAAAAAAATGACTTATCAGCAGCTGAGTTCCATGCTTTTAGCTTTTGTCTAACCTCCTCAGTCATCCAGGGTCATTGGTTGGCCTGTGATTTTTGTATCCTCTTCTCTGTGATGTGTACTTCCTGAATGCATTTTGTTGACTTAGGCTAACACAGTCATGGCATACACATCAATTATCCTTTTGTCATATATTTCTGCACCTTGTACCTCAAGAACTTCATTGTTAAAGGTTAGAGGTGGATAAACATCTTGCACCCTAGGGAAAAATGTTGAAATATTGTTCCTCAGTGTAATCAAAGGAAGACATTTGAGGAGATTAAAATGGAATGCCATTGAGCTCTAACAGAAATTGCCACCGACAGACACATGCATTTATAGTCAAGGTGTAGCTCACAACACCACGCCTTAAAACAGTAGGAGTGGTGTTGTCTTTATTTACAGAGCTGGCAAAGCTTTTTCAAGGGAGGTGCTTCTTGGAATGGGCAGGTGAACAATTTTCTTGAAGAATGATGATTCTTTTTACCAGGAAATAGTAGGGCTGCTGCTCAAAGAGCAGAATTTGCGAGGATTACTTTAACTTGCATGAACTGGGCTGATATTTTATTGTGTCTATTTGCATGTTGCCTGCCTAATGAGGCATTTTTGCCAGATTTTTTGTAAGTCAAGCATACACTGGTCTAAATCATCAAGGTGTGATAGGAGCATGAGCTGTGTAAAAAAATAAATTTCTACTTCAGAATGTCTGCCTGGTTCCTTCTTAAATTTTTTGTTTCAAACTAACAATAGGAAAAAAATGACTAATCAGCAGCAGGGATGTCCTGATCAGCATTTTACGCCACCAATTCCGATTTAATCTTTTAACCTCAAATCCAATCAGATTTTGATAATATCTCAGAAGAAAGTAAAAAGCAAAAAGCCGACTTCTTACAGTATGGCTTTTTCTGACATGTTCTGCTGAATTAGCCCCATGGAATGAATAAGCATGCTGTACAGCATGCACTGGAAAAAAAATAGAGGTTGACAGAACTTTTATTTTCTAGGCAACGTGATGCATTTGGTTTTTTGAGTTTTCCTTACTTAAATTCACTGTGGTTGAGTTTACAAAGATTTTTGAGTTCTGCCAACTTAGGTTTTTGGAGTGTTACATAGAAATTATGAGTTCTACTAACTTAGGTTTTTGAGTTTTACACATGCATTTTGAGTTCTACCAACTTGGGTTTTTCAGTTTCACCTTTAAGTTCTGAGTTCTATCAACTTTGTTTTATGAGTTTGACATATAGATTTTGAGTTCTACATCTCAGATTTTGTAGTGTTATCTGTAAGTTGAGTTCTATCAACTCAGTTTTTTTAGTCCTACTAATCGTCTTCACTACCCATCATTAAACACACAAAAAAATATGTTAATACAACATTTTTATTGCCTCAAGTCAAACATTGTATCAATAGATACAGTATAAAATTATGTTCAACAACATAATCTTAATTGCACAGAGCAAAGTAACCTGAGAGCCTCTTGAGAACTGCACTTTCCTCTCCACGTGTGCGTGTGTTTGCGTTTGCTTATTCAGGAGTTGGAGACCTGAATGCATGCGTGTGTGTGTGTGCTGTGGTAAATGGCAGTCTGGGCTATAGTGGTTCCAGCAGGAACAATGATGTGTGCAACAAGGCTACTATATCAACAGATACAAACATAAAACCACAATGTCCGCAAATCTTCTCAAACGCGAGGGAAAAAGGCTGCACTCTTGAAGAAAGGGATAGGAAACCCCGTACCGTAGAAGGCGTGTCCATGAACATGAGCAGTGCGCATGCCCATGAGTTTTTTTTTTTTTTTTTTAAAGCAGTGCTTTTTTTATATTGTTACTTCGGCTAAAAGCTGTACTGCAGCACCAGCAGAACGCTTTGCTCTCTGAACCAAAAACAGGTCTCAACCATACCAATAGAAGCACCAAAAGAAGTAAGCATTTTTTTTATTTATTTTGTTAATGCAGATAAACAACAAAGTGTGCAAACATAAACTCTTAATCATGAAAACAAACTGTGGGCTCTCCTTTTCATCCTGAAACAAATGGGTTGATGTGTACTTTCTAACAAATTTTTGAAAGAGAGTTCACAAGACAAAAAGCATATTTTCCAAATATCTTATTGAATAACATAAATATTAAGAAATTAAGTCCATCTTTGACATATTACACCTTCCCTGTATTACAGAGCTTGGAGTAAAGTTTTATATGGCCATCAAAATACCTTGGATGAGTACCAGGATGTTGTTATGTTTGGGCTGAGAGGCATGCTCCTTCTAAAGTTGCAGAACACTTTGTTTGGTTATGGTCAATCTGTACATTCCATGATATTGTATTTAGTTAATAATTCTGATTATTCATTACCACTTCTTTATAGCCTGTTAAATGGGAGATGAATGAACTCAACAGAGTATAGCTCAGATGGTTTGCACTTCAATCTTTACAATTTTAAGGATATCTTAATATGTCCAATTAAGCTATTATAGACTTTTTTAAGCTGAACAGAAACATGTTTCTCACTCAATGTTCTAATAAAAGCAATGTGCAAAAAGGACCTGTATATTGAGAAATTATTCTTCCAAATGTATGATTTCAACCTTTGTGTGATAATTAATAATCAAATTTTGAAACCAAATAGTGGCTACAACTTCATTACAAAAATGTCTGTTTAATATAGAAAGAAAAAACACTAATCCAGGATATAACCACAATTGTAAGGTTACTTTGTGAGCCCTAACCCTAACCCTAACCCAAGTAAGTGCATTAAGTCCATTTTATCAGAACCAACCCTAATATTGCTAAGTCTGTATTCTATGTCATCACCATAGTTGAGATTTCTGTAGAGGAACCGCTCTGAATTTCCGTGAAAGTTAAAACCAAAGAAGAGTAGAGGATGACATGTATGGCTTTGACTTCTCTGACCTGTTGTGTATCTCATCTCTGCTACCACAATTAGCGCTATCTAATATTGCCTGTGTGTTGTTGTGCACCACAGTAGTCCATAAATAGTATTTGATAGATTGGTGGTGATTCACCAGGAAGAGAAATAGGCCTAAGATGGGTTGTGAAAGAGCTGACCGGCCCACATGAAGTGTCCCATATAACCTGTAAAAACCACATGCTATTATTTCTGTAAAAGGTCAAAGGCTGCCCCTGTAAAGACAGAAATGCTGTCTGCAAAATACACAATAAGTCATAGAGTTTCTTGTAATGTCAAGTCAGAGCCTTAATTTGGGCTGAGGTACACTAAACAAAAAAGAAGAGGCACATTTGATATTGATGGTTTTAACAATATTAATTCAAGTTTATTCTAGTCATTACTAATAAATATAAAAGCTCTGGAGAAACTTATGCATCTGTGATTTTCTAAAGGTTTGATAGAACACAACTCAAGTTTTTTGATAAATATGCACATATCCTGGGTTTTCTGTTTTAGAAAGCCAGATAGCTGTAATCCAGAGTTAGGTTACTCCTGCAACTAATTGGTTAACCTGGAAAAACCATCTCCCTACAGAGGAGCTGGTCTTAGATATAACCTTTTACCTACTAAGAACTTTTAGTGACACTACCCAGAAAATTCACCTGTCACCCACCCTCAACTAACTCATAATTCAATGAGGCATGTGACCGAAACCACTCAGGGGACGAGGGAGTTAACGACCCATTAGGACCCCCTAATGACCATTAACACCCCCCAGGTGACCTCCTTGGCCAATCCAGTGGGAGGGATCAGAGCCACCTTTTGATTTCCCCTAATTCGTTGTTACACCTACAGTATATTAATCACAGTGCTTGTTATGTGCTTCGGGCACATTATGATTTTTGTCTATTTCTTTTCTTTGTTTTCTTACAGACTTT